GGCTGTGGGCCCCAGGGAGCCACCCCACCATGTTTGCTCTGTAGGTGGGGGCCCAGGGCCACTGCGATCCTGTGGCCTGCTGACACTGTGCCCTCCTTGGGAGCAGCGGCCATAGGCTGAATACCCTCCTGCAGTCCCAGGGCAGTGCCCCTGCTCAGCGCCTCCTGCTTGTCTCCCCTCTCCAGCATGACCACCCTGAAGGTGCCCTCAGCTATGGCTGCTGTGTGGCCGGTGCTGGGGTGCTGCAGGCACCCCATTTTTCCCCCCTATGGCTGCAGCCTGCGTGGGGTGATGGCACAGGCTCAGCTCAGAGTTTTGTATAAAAATGTATTGAAGGAGGTATTTACAGTGAGCACGTCATGGCAGGGGTGGCCAGGCAGAGCCCTGCTCCCTGAGTGCACCCTGCAGGTGCCAGGGCATCCAGGCTGAACACCTGCCTCTGGCTTGCTCCAGCCCCTTGGGTGGTCCTGGCTCAGCACAGGGCTAGTATCCCCGGAAGCATTCACCTTCCAGGTTCCCCTCAGGCTCTCAGATGCCACCATCTCCTGGGATGGGGGATCAGAGGAGGCCAGGAGGACTAGGCAGCGCCAGGGCACAGGGTGCAGCAGGGACCAGCCCCAGGTACAGTTCGTCCTGGCAGGGACTATGTGGAGACACTGATGCGCTGCGGGGCACGTCGTCGCCGCACAACGCGCGGCCCCGTGCTGCTGCGCCGGTGCTGTGGGGAGCTGTGGAGGCAGAAGGGGCTCAGCAGCAGCCACAGGTAGAGCAGGACACAGGCCCAGCATGAGGACACCTTCACCCAGAAGGTTGACCAGCTGCCGTGCGTGAAGGTGGTCTCCAGCACCGCGTTTTCATAGCTGGTGGGAGAGGGCAGGTGTTGGGTGCTTGAGGGATGCTGACACAGGGTTCCTGTGCCAGCTGCAGACACCAGGTCACCCTGTGTCCCAGCAGCCATGTGTCCCTGGGCATGTCCCACCTGCCATGGACCCTCCAGCCCTGCAGACCTCATTGCACTGCATGGCTGCTGTTGGTCACTGGCTGGAGCAGTGCAGGTCTGTGGGCACAGAGCCCTGCTTGTCCCCAGCAGGCGCCAACTTGGTGACAGCATCATGGCCTGGCACAGAGGGCTGGAGCAAGAGCAGGGAAGGCTGGGCAGCAGTGTGGGTCCCTACCTGAACCAGTTGGTGAGGGTCATCATGACGTAGAGCGAGGCAAGGAAGAAGACGAAGTGGAAGGCTGAGTAGCTGTAGACCACCCGATCTTGCTCATCCTGGACAAGGAACTGTCCCCTAGCACTCTCCTCCACTTGCTCACACGTCTGCTCGGTTCCTGGGAGAGCGCAGGGGCACGGCAGCTCCTGCATGCCCCCCTCACTGGCACCCCCAGACTGGGACACAGGCTCTGCCTGATTTCCTGCACCCACTCTGCACCCACCTCTCAGTTCCTCCTCCATCTTCTCGGGGCAGCAGAAGCAACAGGAGGGTTTCTGCAGGGACAGCAGAGTGGTGGCTGCCCAGCCCCATGGCCACGGTGGCTGGGCTGAGCCATCCTTGGCACTGGGGCAGGTGGGTATGCTCTGGGCAGCCCCCTGTGTTTGGCTGGACAGACCTGCCCCATGCTGGGACTGTGACAAGGGCTTGGGGTGGTGGCTCTGGTGTGCCTGTGGCAGGAGGACACGAGGCACAGCTGCATCCATACTCACTTCAAACTCAAAGCTGTAGACTTTGACCATCCAGAGGGGCCCGAAAACCTCGGCAAGGTAGGAGGCTTCATTGCTGTGCCCAGGAGAGAGGCAGAAAATGTAACACAGACAGCCACTGCCTTGTGCCAGGCCCTCAGCCCATCCCATGGATCCCTCACAGCTGCAGGAGCCCTGCTGTGCTGTACCTGGGGTCCCTGTGCTGCCCCTGCCCACCCACCAATGCCCCATCTGCTCTGGCCCTGCCACCCCTCGGGACATTCCCGGCTCTGCCAGCCATGGGGATGGGGTCCTTGTGTGGTGCCAGTTGGGCTGGCTGTGCCCAGCAGAGCTGGTGCCTGGTGGGCCAGTGCTGCAGGGGCCCTGCCCACCCTGTGCCTTGGGCGTACGTACCACGCAAAGAGCACGCAGGCATACATGATGGCAGCGCCCAGCACGGCGACGGTGGTGTCCTCTGTCTGCAGCTCGTCCTGCCGGACCCCCGGGAAGCAGACGGTGAGGTTCTGACCCTTGTAGAGCACTGCGGGGACGCAGAGGTGAGACAGGAGTGCACCATGGCGGGGGCTGCTGGTGGCAGGTGGGGGCACCCACCTCTCTCCGGGGGACGGCTGGACAGCGCGGAGAAGGTGAGGTACATCACATAGCAGCTGATGATTGAGGACTGCAACAGCCCTGACCGCGGCTGCTCTGCAAGGGTGGGGACAGAGGTGTCACTGGAATCCCTGGTGTGCCATAAGCTGGTGGATGAGCTCTGCTTGGGCCCCCAGTAGCCCCCTATGCCACCCCCCTCCTCAGTGCCCTGCACCAAGGTACAGGAGGGGCTGTTGGGAGCCCTGGGGAGATGGGTTCTCCTCCAGTGGTCAAGTGCTGGCCCTGAGCTGGGGGGCACAGCCACCCCTAATCCAGGAAGCAGCTGGTCATCCAGCATGGCAACCCCCACTGTGCCGTGTGATACCCACTGAGTCGCACACAGGGCGTGATGGAGATGAAGGACATGATGCCACAGAGGCTGCCATTGATGGTGAGCAGCGCCTTGTTGAGGTGGCAGGCGGCCGGGTGGGTGTAGAACTTGTAGAGGAAGGAGAAGGCGGCAGAGGCGAGGGTGTAGAAGGCGGCTGTGGCCAGCAGCACGGCCAGGTACCAGCGCTTATCCTGCGCAGCGCCCGTCAGCCTGTGGGAGAGCGTGTGAGTGGTGGCAGCAGGTGGGTGCCCACCCGGCACCCCGGCACTCACCAGTTCTTGTTCCAGGTATGTGCAAAGGCCGTGATCAGCACCAGCTGGATGAGGATGAAGGCGAAGCCCCCACAGACACCCGTGTAGTGCCAGGCTGGGGGGAGAGGGCAGAGGTGGGGATAGCTAAGGGCAGGTGGGGGCTGTGAGGGATGCCTGGGATGCCAGCTTGGGTGGGGTGGGGGACGTACCTTGGATGAAGTTGTCCTCCGGGATGAAGAAGCTTGCAGCCCAGAGGCCCACCAGTGCCAGCAGCTTCAGGAGCCAGAACCTGCAGGGCAGTGAACATGAGTGGGACAGAGCCCCTGGCAGCCCCATCCTGGGACACCCTGTTCCAGCCCCACGGCCTGCCCGTACCCATTGTGGAGCTGCGCGCGGCAGTCAGAGCTCGAGCGCACGTTGAGCAGCAGGGCAGCCTGTGCCAGGTGGAAGCAGGAGGTGCCGAAGCAGACCCGGTACACGGCCAAGGAGCCCACCAGCCGCTCACAGTCTGTGCCCCCAGGCAGGTGTTGGCACAGCACCACGGAGAAGGGCACCTGCAGGCATGGTGGGTGACGGGACAGGGCTGCTGGTGCTTCCACCCAGCACCCTCCAGGACCCATGGCATCCAGTGCATCCAGACTTCTGATATCCCCAGCATTCCCAGTAACCCTGGGACCCCCAACACCCTGCATCTTTGGTACCCCCTTGCACCCCTTCCCCCTTGACACCTCCAGCACCCTTGTTACTCCCAGCAGCCCTGTATCCCCAGCAACCCAGTACTCCTGACTCCCTGGCAATTCTGGCACCCCCAGTGCTCTCCTGGATGCCCCTGGGTGCCCCAGGGTGTCTGGCAACCCCGTATCCCCAGCACTCATGGTATCCTTGAGGCCCTCATCACCCCAGGGGACCCCCAGCACTCCCAGCAGCCTGGATGTCCCAGCTCCTGCTGTTACCTTCTCTGTGATGGCTTGGGCCACAGTGCGGGACAGCATGAGGCAGCACACGGCAGAGGCCAGGACATGCAGGAGCGTGTAGAGGATCCGCGTGTTCGTGGACACGCGGAGCCCATGACAACCGCAGCACAGCTGGGGAGGGAGCACGGTCAGCGAGGATCCTGCAGGGCCAGCACTGCCCCCCAGCCTGGCCCGGCATCTCCTCCTTTCCCAGCCCCGCTCCCAGCCCCACTTCCAGCCCCGCCAAGTCCCGAGTCCCACCTGGGAGAGCAGCGGGTGCAGGAGGTAGCCGTGTGTCCGTGTGCCCGCCATGGCCCGGCACGGCTCTGCTCAGCCCCCGCGGCGCTGATGGGATTAGAGGATTGTCGGCTCGGCCCGCCCTGCCATCTGCTCGCTGCTCCCTCCCGGCAGCCACCCCTGGGACGCTCCGTGGGCAGTGTCCAGTGATCCCCGGCCATGGGCAGCCCTGCCCGCACCCCGGTCCCTCACTGGGCAGGACGAGGCCGTGGAAGCCGGCCGGGGCATGGGCGGGCTTGGGGGGCACGTGGGGTCTGCCGATGATGTAACTCTGATCCCAGAGCAATGCCCCGGGGCTGTGCGGAGGAGCTGGGGAGTGTGGGGGTACTGGGGGTCTGGAGCACCCCCAGGCACAGAGGCACCCAAGGGACACGGGTACCACGAGGGTAGGGGGATGGCATAAGGCACATCCAGCGGTGAGCAGGAACCCCCAGTGTCGGCAGGAGACTGAGGACGAGCCACGGCGTGCAGGGAGCCCTATGCTGGGGCTGTCGTCACATTCCTTCGGCTGCTCCGCAGCCGTTCCGGCTTTGCGCACGCAGCCCGGTCCGAGGGACGCGGTGTCCCCATCGGGGGGGCGAGTAACACCCGTGCGGGAAGGGAGCGGCGGGGGCGGACCCGCGCCCGCCCGGCCTAGCTCCGCGTCTCGGCAGCGCCGGGGCCAGCACCGGGAGGGACCGAGCCGCCCGGGGAGCACCGGGAGGGACCGAGCCGCTGCCGCTCGGCGGCCCCGGGGGCGGGGTCAGGCCAGGCGAAGGGGCGGGGCCAGGACCGCCTTCGGCCCCGCCCCCATCGCCTTTAAGCGCGCGCCTCTCGTTAGCTCCGCCGGCGGCGCACGTGACCGGAAGCGGCTCCCGGCGGCGGGATGGCGGCTGAGGGAGACGTGGAGCTGGAGCTGGAGACGGAGCCGAACGGCTCCGGCGGCGGCAGCGATGGGGCGGGCGGGCGCGCGGCCGAGAAGCCGCGGAAGCACGACAGCGGCGCGGCGGACTTGGAGCGCGTCACGGACTACGCGGAGGAGAAGGAAATCCAGAGCTCCAACCTGGAGACGGTGCGGCGGCGGGACGGGACCGGGCCGGGGTGGGGGGCTGGGCACCGCCTGCAGTGGGGCCGAGCCGGGCCCTGAGCACCGAGCCTGCACGTCCGTCCCGGTGCCGGTCCCCGTGCCCGTGCCGCCGGTGCGGCGCTGACCCGCCCGGTGCCGCGCAGCGCGGTGACTGCGCTCGTTCTGGCAGGCCATGTCGGTGATCGGAGACCGGAGATCCCGGGAGCAGAAAGCAAAGCAGGAGAGGTAACAGCCCGCGCTCGCTCGGGGTTTGGGGGCAGTGCCCACCCGGACACCGGCCCGCGACTTCCCGGTCTGACCGGCCCGGCCCGGCCCCGGCCCCCTCTCAGCGCACACCCCGCACTGCTGCGCCGGGGCAGTGACCGGGGAGGGCTGTCGATCATCGGAGGTTTGTTCGTCTCTTGTCGCAGGGAGAAAGAGCTAGCAAAAGTGACCATCAAGAAGGAGGACCTGGAGCTGATTGTGAGTAGAGGCGGGGCGCCGGGTGAGCCGTGTCGTGTCCCAAACCTGGGGGTGAAACTGCACCCACGGAGGGGGCTGGTGCACGCAGGTGTCCTCCCGGGCAGCTGCCGTCCACCGCCCCCTGCCCAGCCCGTGGGGCTCTGCAGCTGCTGTACCGGGCTGTGGTTTCCCTGCAGATGACAGAGATGGAGATCTCCCGGGCCGCGGCAGAGCGCAGCCTGCGCGAGCACATGGGCAACGTGGTAGAGGCCCTGATCACCCTCACCAACTGAGCCGGGCCACGGGCATGGCTCTCACTGCACCAATAAAGGCACTGGTGGGACTGGGCTGTCTCTGTGGTCTGCGCAGTGCCAGGACCTGCCCAGCAGGTCCCACAGGGCTCATGGGACCCACAGGCAGGGCCCAGCCTGCGGGAAGATGTGTGTGGCATCACTTTGGCAGTACTGGCTGGGCACACCCATGACTGGAGCAGGACAAGGTGACCTGCCTGAGCACCAACACTTGCTGCACTCCCCTCTTTTAACCTCACCCCCCTGGGGCTTCACAGGCCCAGGCACAGGCCTGAGGCAGCAGTGACAGCCACCCATGCATGCCCTGCCCAGGCTGGTGCCCACCCTAGCTCGCAGGAAGGCACAGAACCACGTGGCCATGTCTGTAAGAACAATAGGGCCAGAGCGTGTAAGAAAAATCAAATCTTTAATTAAACCCCCCACCCCACACAGGTAGAAAAGCCAAACCTTGCAGGAACAGGGTAAGGAGACAGGGTCACCACTGCCCAACCCAAAACAGGGCCCAGACTGACACCAGGGACAGTACAAGAAAAGGGGAGGTGTTGTGGAACAGATGGGTACAAAAGTCCTCTAATTCCTCCAGAAGTGGGTGTGTTGGATCTAGGGGTGCTGCTGCACTCCTGCACGGCCTGCTGGGCGCTGCTGAGGCTACAGACTGGCAGCTGGTGGGACATGGTCTGTCCACAGGCCTGGCCAGCATCACAGACCATTGTCCTCTACAGCGCACAGGCAAGGAGCCCACCTGGTCTGTGCAGCACCGGGAACGGGACACCACATCAGGGCAGGCACAGCACGGGCAGAGGAAGAGCTTGTCACCACAGGAGTCCCGGCACGAGTCCCTTCTGTCCCTGCCCAGGCTCTGACAGCTGGCAGGGCAGTGCCCTCCTGCCAGCATCAGCCACGCCAGACCCTCCTGCCCGTGCCCTTAGGTGGTTTTTCGCTTCTTGGCTGAGGGTCTCTCGAAGACGTCCCGCACGCCTGCTGCCTTCTGCTTAAAGAACTTGGTGTTCTGTGCACTCTCCTGGCCCCAGGCAGAGTCAAAGGAGGTGGTGTCCTGGTCCACCAAGTGCGTGTACTTGGTCCGTCCTGAGCGCCCAAAGTTCTTGACCTGGGGAGCAGAAGAGCTCGTGAGCAGCTGCTCAGGGTGGGTGCAGGACCTGCTGCTCCCCCCTGCCCAGAACCCCCACCCTTTGGCCTGGCACGTGGGCTGGGCACCCTCTGCCAATGCACCCACCTGCATGACTTTGGGTAGGATGGTCTTGTTGAAGTGATCCTCGAGGGTCGGGGCACTGAAGTCCCTCTTGTACACCTCCTCATCCTCATCCTGCAGAAAAAGGACATGTCTGCTCAGCCTCAAAGGTTCCGGCCAGCGCCAGCAGAAGTGGGGGAGCTGCCCACAGCTTGTATCGCTGCTCTGCCAGGGCTGCCATAGTACTTGCAGCCCTATTAACTACTGCTGGAGGGGGGGATGTGAGCGTTGTCCCCCAGGCCACTTCTCCAACGCGCAGGTCATAGCCCACATGGAGCTAGCTTGGTTATGGCTGGGTCTGTGGCCCAGACAGCAGCACAGGGACAGCTCTGCAGCTTTGACTTCATCTCAGCTGGGAACTCTCAACCTGACGGGGTCCGGTGAGGTCATGGTGAGTCACCTTCAGCCCCGTGATGCCTCTGAGGGCTGGCTCTTGTCCCAGGGCAACCTCAGCCCCAGAGCACTGCAGGATAGGGGAGGCTCCCCAGAGCAAAAAGGTGGCCCTGGGGTCTGGCACAGCCCCTGTGGCCACGCCCAGCCCTTGGCACACTCACCATGAAGAAGGCGCCGCGGTGGTAGTACTTCTGCAGGAACTTGTATTTGCCCTTCACTGCCTTGTTGGTGATGACTTTGCCGTTGGCCCGGAGCTCAGCTCGGCGCTCCTCCTCCGTCAGGTTCCGCATGCGCTCGATCTCCGCCTTTTCCTTCTCCATGCTGGGTGAGAGAGAAGCCCTTGAGATCCCACGTGCCCAGAGCAGCTCCCAGGACAGCAGCTACACCCAAGGGGTGGAGCAAAGGTGCCCTGAGGGCAAGCAGGAAGGGCTCTGGGCACTTGGTCCAGCTGGGACCCTGCTGCCAAAGGGCAGCCTGAGGAAAAGGTGCTTTTTCTTTAGAGGAACCTGTGGGCTCTAAGCCTTGTGTCTACACAGACGATACTTACGCTTCTCGTTCCTCACGGTCCCGTTTGATGCGCTTCAGCTCACGGACCTTCCAGGCCTCATACTCTTCCTCATCATTCTCATCATCTGTATCAAGCGCATCCAGTGCTGCCAGCGAGCGTTTGTTCTCTTCCAGCTCCTTCTTTGCTTCCTCTTCTACGATCTGCAGCGAGGTCCAAGCTAAACTTGCTGCAGTGATTGCCCCCCGCAGCCCCCAGCCCAACCCTCCGCACCTTGAGTGTGTACTTGCGCCTCTCCTCTGCCATCCTCTTTGCTTCCTGCTCCAGCTCCTTCTGCTTCAGGGCTTCCGCTTCTCGCTCCTGAACTGTGATCCGGTCCTTCCTGAGAGCAGGACCACAACAACCTTCAGCCCTACCGCAACCCAGCGCAGCTGCCTGGCCCTCTACTGACTCCATCCCCTCCCGCACCACAGCCGCTTTCAGCCTTTGCCCTCTGCAAGCACAGGCCGAGCCCTGGGCCTCTCCCCTTTCTCGGGGCTACCACCCTTTGCCATTGTACAGCCCTCACCCAAGGGCTCCGCTCAGACTCCACAGCGTGATCCCGCAGTGACACAGCACAGCCAATGAGGGGCTGTGGGTACAGGGATCACCTCTCGCTCCTCAGCTATGCCCTGCCAGGCTGTGACCATCCCACCTGGGGGAGGCAAACGGCTGCCCCATGGCGAGGAAGGGACCGTGGCAGCAGGGTCTGCTCAGCCCTGAGCTTGTCACTCCCGAGTCCCCGGCAGGGCCAGCCCGTGCAACCGTGTCACCTACTTGCGGATGAAGACAGGTTTGAGACGTGGCTCCATTTCATCCTCGCTGTCCGTGTACTCCTCATACTCGGACTCTGACTCAGATTCTTCTCCAGACCGACCCTCATCTTCCAACTCCATCACTTCCATCTCCTCCGTTTTCCTCTCCTGCGCTCGCTGACGCATCATCCCACGTCGACGCTCGATCTCCTAAATGGGGAACAGCAGAGAGCAGTCAGAGACCAGCCCCGCTACTGCTTCCCTCTCTCCTCTGTAAAACACGCATGATGTTTGGAGTGCTGGCTTTGAGAAGATACACCCACCCCTCCGGATGCAGGGTGGCCTCTCTGAGTGTCCAGTCCCATGCAAGAGGATGGTCACCCACCAGGTAAGTCATGGCCAAGTGTAACGCTTGTCCAGCTCCATCAGAAAACCCACATATCTGTGCAAAGGGCAGTTCCAGCCTGTGCCGTTCCAGTTTCCCTAGGCCCGTTCTCCAGCTCTGCAAGCCCACCTCATCATCGATCTCCTCCTCCTCCTCTTCACTGGTGTCCTCCCGCTCCAGCCGCCATGCTTCCCCCTCCACCTCCGAATCACTTTCTCCAACCACTTCAGGTTCCACAATTTTGCGGTGTCTCGCAAGCCTGCAACAGGCCCCAATTAACCCATGGCACTCGTAATGTAAAGAGGCTACGGAAAGGTGGCTGTTCAGGAATCGCTCCTGGCAAGGTAAGCACTGGCACTGCCAGGTGTGGGCAGAACTGAGACGTGCTCTCCCAGGAGGCTGCAGTGGCTGGGCACAGGCAGCTCCTCACTGTCCGTGCGTCGAGTAGGAATGGAGTTCTCAATTGGAAGCCTCCCTGTTACTGGAAACAAAACCAGCAGCAACTCCACAGGAGGCAAGCAGCACCTGGTGCTCCCTCCCCAGAGCACACTTCACGTGACACTATGCCTCCCCACTGCCTCGGGCCTCAACACACTGCACCAATATCTATTTTGGAGCCTGCTTTTGCCACCACCCCCTCAAGTGCACCTGGATGTGGGGCTTTGCCTGGCTGGCTCCTGGTCGGAAAGGAGCCCCAGGGAGAGTGCAACATGGATGTGAGAAGAGTCACGGCCTCTCCTGCACTGCCCGGACAATGCTCCCAGCTCCTGCCCGGTGCAGTTCTTCCCTGCAGTGCCACAGAGAAGTGCAGGCTCCCCAGCCCCTGTCAGGCCAAGGGAGCTCAGCTCCCGCCTGACCCATCACTCACCGCTCCTCCACGTCCTCTGCGATGCGGTTCTGGAGGCGCCGGAGCCGAGGGTCGTTGGCCAGTTCCTCCTCCTGCTCCTCGGGCTCCACCTCCTGCTCCTTCGCCTTCTTGATGAACTGGAACTCCTCGTCTTCCTCCTCCGACGACTCCATGGGCGCATAGTCGGGCCGCTTGCCCGACACGTACCGCTTCACCTTCACCTTCTCCATGGACAGCTCGCCTGCGAGCGCCGGGCCGTCACCGAGGGTCCCGGCCCCGCGCCCCCCCCCGACACTGCCCGCCCCGGGCCCCCCGGGTCCCCGCTCACCCTTCTCGTTGCGGACGGGCACGGCGCCCGCCGTGGACTGGATCGGCGGCTGCTTCATGAGAGCGCTGGGGACCGCCATGGTGGCGGCGGCAGGGGCCCGGCCGAGCGGGGTCCGAGCTGCGGCGCTGACAACACCGGAACCGGAACCGGGGTCGGGGCCGCGCCGGGAGCCGGAAGTGACGCTCATGAGGCGTCACTGCCGGGCCGGGCCGAGCCGCTGGCCCTGGGGCGGGGTGGCGGGGCAGCTCCTGGTCGCTCCGGGTCCCGCCTTCGGCCGGGGGAGGTTCCCTCCCGCGCGCTGCAGATTTTCTGCCATCCACTGGGGCATCAGGGCGAGGCGCCGGCCGAGGGGCCACCGCACGGCGGGGCAACGCGGGGTATCCCCGGGACGGGGCTCTGGCGCCTCCGGCCGTGTCTGAGCGCCGTGGGGCTCCGGCTGCAGCCCCGGTTGCCTCCCCCCGCTCGGGGAGGGCGCGTTCCGTGCGGGGCTGGGTCTGAGCGGCCGCTGCTGGAACACCGAGGGTTCGGGGGCTCCGTAACTTGCTGGGCTGTGGGACACGTCCTGCAGCTGGCGCATTCCTGTACTGAATTCCCCCGGCACAGCCTGGAAAAAACGCTGCTCGCTCAGTGCACAGCGGGGCCCGTGGGTCTGTGCTGTGCCCGCCGCCAGGGCGGCTGCTCGGGGCAGGGCTGGGGCTGGGTGGTCGTGGCTACTGTTGAAGCTGCCCGGTCCCTCCCGCTTTGGCCCCGACAGACAGAGCCAGCCCTGGCCCCAGCCCTACTGCTCTGCCCGCTGCCAGACAGCCCCGCCGAGTCCCAGCGCTGCCGCCTGGGTCCCCACCTCCTGGGCAGCAAGGACCAGTGGCCCCGGCCCAGCCGTGTGTCCGCCCGCAGCCCCCGGGGGACGCCAGCGCTTGGGGTAGGGCTGCTGCAGGACCCTTCGCCGTGCCGCAGAGCGGTGCTGGGGGAGCCCCTGGGATTCCTGGTGGCATCGTGTGGGGAAGGGTCAGGGCCATGGCCACTTCGAGAAAGCCATGCGGGGTTTTCCATAAGCAGCCGGGGGCTGCCCGTGTCAGCATGTCTCAGCTTCCGTGGGGCTCGAGGTTTCACAGCGCCAGAGCGACTGGCTGACGCAGGATGTCTCACATCCTGTGCAGAAGATAACGACTTCTAAGTTGGGTAAAACTACAGCACAAGCCACCACAGCCACATCTGCCACCCTCTGCTTGCTACCTTCTGCTGAAGAAAGGAAGAGGTTTTAAGGATGAGTTTTTATCTTCCACGAAATCTGCTTGCTGGTAGGGGAATTTGGGAAGCAGGAGGGCAGAGCCGTGCTTAACTCTGCACTGCCGGGTGCCTGCCCTGTCGGTGCTGGAGCAGGTGCCCTTGTGCCCGTGCAGCGGAGGCTGTGTGGGGTGAGGCCAGCCCTGGCAGTGAGGAAGGCCCAATGCACGTGTTTTCCAGTTGGTGGGTCAGCACTGGAGCACAATCCAAAAGGGAGTGCAGGAAGGGTGTCCTTGGTCTGGACTGGGAGATGTCCCTCTGGAAGGATTTTGTGGAGCCTGTCTTGGGGAGAGTAGACCCAATTGGCAGCAGTACCATCCCAGTCTGGGCCCAGCTCCACTGGGATGGAGGGTCCCAGCAGTGGCTGCAGAGGTCCTGAGGCCGGCTCCCTCCTGGGGCACTTTCCCCGGCCCACAGAAATGCTGGGGCTGGGCAGATCCGGTCGGGTGACCATGATCCGGCAGGGCTGCAGGCAGGGGTGGCTGCCCCCAGGCACGGGGGCAGGTGGGCCCAGCCCCTTGCGATGCCATCTGGCTGCACCCAGCAGCCATTCCTGCTCAGTCCCTGCTGTGGTGCTGGGGAAGGGTCTCCCTGCTCCGTTCCTGCCGCAGGCAGAGCTGGGGGCTTTCTCCAGGGCTCCCCTGCTTCAGTGTGTCCCTGCACCAGATGGGGTGTGGGGGGCTCCCTTCATGCCCTGAAGCTGGTAGTTTGCCTGAGCAACTGAGGCATTGGTGGCTTTATAATCCTACAGCACCTGAAGGTTCTCCCCAGCCTCCACCAGGAATGAGTAAGAGCCGACCTGTGTGCTTCTGGCCTTTGCACCCAGATGACAACTGGAACTCCCACTCTGTGTTTGGTCACCTGATGAGAAGTTAATGTTGAAGACTGTCACAGTGTGTTCCCACCTGATGAGTCCTGTGCCAGGGGGCAAGGAGGGAGCTTCAACAGCGCTCAGAAAAACAATTGGCCACAGCAGCTAAGGGGAAGTTTGGGGACTGCACACAAAGCATGTACTGTCCCATTCAGGTGAAGCAAAAGTAAAGACCTGGGCAAACAGGGAAATATCTTTAAGCCTGGCTTGGTTCTGTGGCTGCCGGCACTGGAGGCTGTGGCAAGAAGCCACCCTTGGCTATGATGTGTCTTTGCCCCACGTCCCCTTTCCCCAGCACAGTGGCTGCTGACGTGTCAGCCCTGCAGCGCTTGGCTGTCGGCAGCCGGGCTGCGGCAGAGGTGGGGGGCACTTAGTAGGGCTGAGCCCTCCTTTCCCACAGTGGTGTGAGGCTGCAGGAGGCTGGCAGCTGCTGGCATGGGTGAGCCTGGAATATGGGCCAGTCTGCCTCGCAGTGCTGTGCCAGCTGTGCCTGCCGGGCTTTGGGCCGGGTTTGTCTGTCCGTGTCTGTGAGCACCCTCTCCCCAGCCCACTGAAGCCCATGGGTACACAGGGCTCCTGCTGCTGGGCCATAGGTGGGTTCCCAGCCTGGTGTTCCCTGCACACGTGTACTTGTGTTCCTATATGTGTCACTTGTGTGGAGCACCCTGAGTGCCACAAGCACCTTATGGTGCTTGGGCTGCGGAAAGGTGTCCCCGCACCTGCATGGCAGGTGATGGCAGGGTGCTGTCATGGGATAGGTGATGCTAGCTCACGTACTACAGCCCAGAGCAGGGGCAGAGCTGGGGTAGGTCTATACGTTGCCAGCGTTACAGCTTCTGCTGACAAAGCCAGAGGCAGATAAAGTTACAGAACCCCCCCAAGCCACTCAGTTTGTGTCTGAGGCTGTACCGCAGGACAAGGTCAGAGTGTTCAGGCTGGGCCCGAGTCCCTGCATGTGGCCACAGTGAGATGTTGTGTCTGGGAGCTGGAGAGGAATAGAGCTGCTGGAGCCAGCAGGACCCTGTGGAGCACAGCTCCTGGCAGGGCCACGGCAGTCTCAGGTTAGTAGCATCTGGGGGGAAGGGAGGAGAGGGGTTGGAGAGGCTCCAGGGAAGGGCACTGCAGCCTCAGCTTCGGGAGAGGGTGAGGGCGGGTGCAGGGAAGGGGCTGAACAGCACAGCAGAGGGGCTGTGGGCTTGCCCCTGTGCTGGCACAGGACGGGGGGAGGCAGAGCGGGTTGCTCTGTGCTAGGTAAACATTCAGGTATTGATTCTGTTCCTCCGGATGTTTCTGCCTGCCATTGCTGCCTGTTACTTCATTTTCTCTGCTGTTTGTGCGGGTCCTCTGCCGGTCCCCACTCACTGGCTGCTTCCGCCTGCAGTCCTGGGGGTCCCCCGGGCTGTTGTGCCTGCAGGCAGGGGTGCAGCCCTGTGTTGCTCTGCCTCCCACAGACCTCAGGCAGATGGGCAGTTGCATCACTGTTGGGTTTGTGCAATCTCTGCAACCTGAAAGCCAAAAATTGACCTGATTTTTCCATGAAAGTGGGTTTCTATTGATTGTGTGTGCAGCTGGGCCACACCGCACAGTGTGCTCGGTACCAGGGGGGTCTCTCCCAGCCCCAGCAAGAAGTTTGGCCCCTGTGCCTGTAGTGTGGGCCCCAGGGGATCCTGGCAGGGCAGACCTTGCGAGACGGGACAGTGCGGCTGGCTCGCAATAGGGCTGCCGTTCTGCTGGTACACTGCTGCATGGAGCAGCTGCTCCTGCTGTCTCCTGGGGTGTGCTGGTGCCTCTGAGCCATGGCACCAAGTTTGAGAGGAGGGTTCATGGTCCTGGCAAACATGGCTGCAGTAACTGCTTCACCCCCTTGCTGCACCACGGCTGGGGGCAGAGAGGTCCTGCCAGGCAGTCCTGTGAGATGAGGGGGGCACAGCAGCCACCCAGATCCACGCTGGTGGCCCTTGTCTCTGCTCCATCTGCAGCTGTGCTCCGGGGGGCTGCTGGGACAGCATGTCCCTTCCCTGCCCGTGGCACTGTGCCACCCACAGCCAGGTGCTCTTCAGGCCAGGCGTTGTCTTTGGCAGGGCAGCGGGGTCAGTGCAGGTCCCAGGCCAGCGATTTATGTAAGAGTGCAGTGCTTCCTGCCTGCCTGCCCCGCGGCACCGCGGTAAGCCCATGGTGACAAGGGCCCTTTGTCAGCTCCTCTCCCTGGCACCATACGTCACAGGGCCAGGTGCAGTGGCACCTCACCTGCCCTGGCATAGCTGCCGGTGCCCAAAGGAGGCATCGGAAGATAAGGTGCGTGGGTGGGGCAGGCAGCCTGCCTACCAGCCCACCTCCCACCACTGGGTCTGCCCCCATCCACATATCCTCTATATAACTCCGTGGGGCATGGCCAGCTCTGCTGTGCAACCAAGGACCGGCCTGGGCTGAACAGCTGCAGGAACGACTTCCAAGCACGCTGAGGTGGCGTTGGGGTGAGTGCTGCCTGTCCACGGTGTGCCTGGCCCCCCAGCAGGACCGTGGCCCTGAGGGTGGGCCTGGGGTACCACAGCCCCTGTGGCCGGTGGCTCCTGGTGCAGCTCTTTGGGCTGGATGCTGGGGTCTGCCCAGCCCGAGTCCCTGCAGAACCAACCCAGTTAGCACAGAAACCTGCCCTGTGCCAGATTTTCTGGGCTGTTCTCAGCATTTCAGTTACCAAGGTGACTGTTTCCTGTGCGATTGCTAACGCTTCATGATCTCGATCATGATATCCGAGTGACTTCCTTTCCTCTGTAAGGAGCACTAGGACCTGCTCCTGCTTGGGGCTGCCAGAGCCATTGCAGGTGCGGAGGATTCAGGTTTGGGTTCAGGTCAGTTTGGGTTCCGCTGCTTTTGTGTTGCTTGTGACACAGTGGATTGTTTTTACAAATTACTGAAGTCCTTTTACTTCTCACCTTTTCTCCTTGGTGGAAGTCTCTCTCCTGAAACAGGGCTAATGGATTTTCCTTGTATTGCTGCTTTCCAGACAGTTTCTCTCTCAGGCTGCTGCACACTGACCTGGGGCCACAGCCCCATGGTACGGACCTCATGGGAAGGCTGGTGTTATTCCCATAGCCTGGCTGGGGAGCTCTCTTCTCCGGGGGCTGCCAGGGCTGAAACAGGCTGGTCTGACTGGGCTCATGTCTCACCAGCCCCATGTTGAAGCACAACCAACCACCTGCTGCACCAGGCGGGAGACGGGGGCGTCTTCTGTGTGCCCTTTGCTGCAGGTGCCCTCGTACCCCTGGTCAGCGCCGGGAGCCCATGGGGGGGTCACGGCTCTCACGGGGCAGATCCAGGTCTCCTGCTTCGGTTGGCACAGGTACCCCCCGGGTGGGCACGGGCAGGCCCACGAGG